TTGGAGTTTCACATGAGGAAATATTGATTCGCACTGCTAAGTATTCCCATGAAACGACCGTCCAGTGCTTTCAGGTTTTCAATGGTGGTCTAACATTGATTCGTTCATGACCTTAAAGAAAACTCAGCAATCTCTACAACTATATATAGATGATAAAAAATAGTTGCAACCCACTCTCACTTCCAAATTTACATTGGCCTTGTAAACTGTTAATGTCGGTCTATTATCAATTGTACTTTCTCGTGAGATCTATTATAATTGTCCATCTACCAGTGTGAAAGTACATTGTCCTGATCGTTCCATTTACACCACTTACATCTACCTTAAACTCTGATAAATATCACTTTGGATGACATTAGCAGCACTTATCACCCATCTATCAACTAATATACAACTCACTGTTATCCGATATCTCATAGTAACAGATTTTACGACAAATCATACCTCTACGATGTATAGCTTATATGATATAGTCACTTGTCAGTAATCTTAAAATGTACATACCAGCAATATAATGATTTAAAACTCAATATACCTCAGTCCAGTTATTAAAGTTTTTCACTAGCTCAAATGACAGAATCACTTTTCTCTGTCATATATATAAGATGTTCGGATTCCAATATATTGGTCTCTTGTTTTTTTAAGGAATGAATAAGAAGAAAAATATACTAACGACTGTAGTGTTCTTAGTATTTAACATTTCAATAATTTCTACGCATGTGAGTAGATACACTTAGCATTCATTGTTGTCTCGTTCAAACAAATCTAATTTATTTATTTATTTCAACACATAAATACTGGTACAAGAGGGCACCAAATATATATGCGCTGTGATACTGCCCGGGTGCCCAAACCGAAGCAGGTAAACAAATCTAAAACATGAAGGATAACTGCAGTACCTGTACAGTTTGAAAATAGCTATCCCAAACTTTTAGACAGGTCACCAGTTTTCAGGTGCAATAACTGAGATAGGTTCGTCCGAGTAACATGATTCCTTTATTAGGATCCACGTAATTCAGAAGTGAAAGTGTTATCACCAATGGAATTGGATGATCAGCGCCTTTATGCAGCTAATTAACTGAAGTTAACAAACTAAACCTCTGAATGTTGATTCACTGGCTTACAAGTGTTGTACTCATCATGTTGACTGTAGCTCTTGTGTTCGATTTCATGAAAAGTTCTGTTCCCATCATGAAGAAGCATTAAACGTGAACAAACTAGATACCTAGTGTTTTCTGTATTCATTAATACTATCTTCAATCTGAACAATCTCCATCATCCCCGTACATCAGTAACAACATCAATAGTTAAGTAATTATACTTGCCTACAGATTTTGTGTTAAGTATTAATTATAGTAATTATCAATAATTCATGAATTTTGTTTATTCATTGGAAATTAATTAGACACTCCCTCCTCGTTTTGTAATTAGCCATTTACAAGTTTGTGAATGTATGCACAAATGGAAGATAAATCATTTACCAAACCTTTATATGTTGAGATGCAGTCCCATGATAGCCGGTGACCAACGATTGGTTCATACGCCATTTGTTCCTTCAGGATAATGGAGCCCATGTGGAGCATTGGTTTGGAATCAGGGTTTTCCAACTCCCCTAGGTGGACTCTCCGTGTTCAAAAACCCGGTTAAAGCGCCGGAGATTCGCTCTTCGTCTTCCCAATTTTGTAAACAACACTCCCACCGTGAGAATGGAATGAGTAGGGCTTCCCTGGTAGTGGTTGCATGCATGTGGCCGTGTGAGAGCGGACTCTCACCATTCTCGGCCGTACCAGGGTACTTCGTGGATTCATACCATCAAACAAATAGTTAAATTAAAGACTGACGCAACTGACTCCGACATTGTTTACAAAGTGGACTAATGTGAACTGTGTATAAATTTCGATGTTAACTTGGGTGTATTCAAATTTATAAACAGAACCAATTGCATGAAATTAGATATATTCGTTATTGCTACCGTAGTCCAATGATCATCTGATGTCTTAGGACATAGTCAGGGTTATATTAATTATTTATCCTATCAGGAAGCTAAAATTAGGCCAAGAATGACATAGAAACATGGAGTCAAATGCCTAACTACAACTAGTTGAACAGACCAATCTACTTTGTTATTGATGCGTACGATACTTAAGGATTAGATGAATAAGTAAAGTCCAGTTGCAACTGATTATATTCATTATCATCCATTCAACCTGTTTGTATTCAGTTCAGATATGAAACACTCAGCATTTCTTTATTGAAATGTATTGGAGAACATAGATGAGGACAACCAAATTATTTTTAGCACAACAATCCAGAGTTACTTGGTAAAATAGAAAAACCATGCTATAATACCCAACTTGCAAAATGTACAATAATTGTCTCAGACTTCATTGTTCTTGCATTTCCATACTAATTGCTGTCTATCCCCGTTCTTCCTATCTTGATCTTCCCAGTCTTCTGCTGCCAGACATTACATTCTTGACTCGCGTTATATACTACTTATATCAATATAAGTAACACGCACCACAATAATACAATATGAAATATTGTTTTTTACTACATTCTAAATAATTATTGTTAAACTAAATACTCACGTTAAGAACTAAATTTCGTTGGCCACATTTAAGATTTCCAAATAAATGATTATGTTATTTATGAAAATCCTAATGACTAGAAATCTATCATATGAATTCATCTAATCAAGTCAATGACAACCTAAATAATAGATGCTGTGTACTGACTAGAAATACTTTTTTCTTCGCTAAGTGATTAGCAATGGGATTCAGAACTGTTATCTTGTTACCTTGACTTGGTGGTCGGGCTTGCCTGTCGTGATGAAGCAACCGAGCTACACCTGCTGGAACAACCATTCCTCAAGGTCCTACCATGTCAGACAGGTCGGTTGAAGAGCGGTAAGACTAAGAGCAACAAACTCAAGGTCCGAAGGCGAAGTCGTACTGCTGACTGTACAGAGGTGTGACAGCAGTAAGGTGTTTCCTTCAGACAACAAGCATGACAGTGATGCTGCCTTCCCACACGGAGGGGTGGGGTTGGAGAAGGTCAACCTTAGAAATGCACACCTCGCCTTATCCCACGGATATCCGTCTCCAGCGGTATGGTCTCAACAAGTACGGAACTAACACAAAACTTACTCATAAAAAGGTCGTGTGTGACCAACCTCAAGCAGTTGTACCTTGGGCACTGCGGTCACGCTCTCAGGTCACTAAGACCACCTCTGACCCAATTTCCTTTTTAGGTACCTCCAGAAGAACACTTCCACGGTGTGGGCGACCGGGAAGTGATAACCGCCCTCATACCTCTAACAGCACTCAAGACCACTACTCATTCAATCCTGTTACATTTAGAAATTGTTGGTAGATTGCGTCTAGATTTTGACGGATTGCGATTCCTACTGAGATCGAAACCAATCGTTCATTACTTAAAACACTGGAGTATTATTTTTGAGATGTTCTCTTTATCTCCTTTCAGTAAAAACTTATTCATTCCTTTCAATTGATAAATCGGTATCTTTAATGGTAAGAATTGGTATGAGCTGATTGAAATCAAGTTACTTTGTTCAAAAATAGATATATATATTTCAACAGCCGACCAAAATAATACCAGTACTATAAGAGAGGGTTATCAAATGCAGATTATCATCATTACTGAATAAGTATACAATGAATTACGTATCAGATATTACTTTTTTATCTAAATGAACGTTTTTAGTAATACAAAGGATTAAATCCAACGACCACATTGATCTTATTTATCTGCAAACCTGATTTATTAATCAAGATATAGGGTCAAGGGAAGGTAAATTAATTCAAATACAACGATCAAGATTCAAATATTAAATGTACCACCAACACTTCACAAGAAATGTTCAGTATCAATAGTTGAGATCATGAGTCAATTAAAGCTAGACCACCATGGAAAATCTGGACAGCCGTTTCGTCCTATTGAGGCACTCCTCAGCAGTGTGCATCCAACAACGCCGCCTCGCGGGATTCGAAACCAGAACCTATACGTTTCGCGCCAGGCGCCTAACCAACTAGAGCACTGAGCCGGCATCCAACTGTGTCATTGTCCAACTTCAACTAATCCACGAAATTGTGCAACACATCCACCATTGTCATCAGTAAGTTAATACCTCACAACTGACCCGGTTGAACTCCACTGGTCACTGCTTCTCACTATACAATAGCATTAACAGATTATTTGCTATCATCTATACGTATAACATGACTTTATACCGACTGAGTTTAAAATTACAAAGATGATCTATAACGTTGAAGAAATGTAGAATATAGTAGTAGCAACAAATAATCCTACTATATGATATAAAGCAGATAGATAAGAAGCATAGATTGAAGTACTAGAAAGATCTTACACATACATAAACCTAAAGTCTTTTCAAAGAAAATATTTTCCTTGAGAAAGCTTGGATCAGATTGCCAGACGAAACGTTGGATTTACTTCAAATTCTTTCACTGAGATTTGCACAAATACATATTCCTTCCTCTTTAATGTCTCACTATTCGTTTAAATTTAGACGAAAGTTCTACAATCAATAACGAATTATCAAAGAAAAATGTACAATTGATAATAACCACTGAATTATCAATCTATTTTGTTTAAAAATAATCAATCTATGTAACTAACAAAACAAAACATGTTTACAAAAAAAGCAAGTTAAACATTTTTTTTAGAAAAAAAATAAAATAAAATAAACAAACTGAACAATGAAACAAATTGATATCGATCAATAAACCAGTCAATCAGCAACAAATTAATAAAGATGCACAAAACATAAATAAACAATAAACAATAATAATAATAATCATAATAACCATACCAAGTCCCACACATAATAGTAGTAAAGAAAACCCTGAAAACTAGACAATATCACATCAGTATACAAAGGTTAATAATAAATATTTTTCTTTACTTTGTACACATCATAATTATTTTTGTCGTAGTTTTCATGTTTACATTAAAAATTATAAAATAAAAAAAGAATTAATGATCTAAAGTAAATTACAATTGGATGATTCATATTCAATTACTTCACGAGGTGTTTCACCATTCTCAATGTTAATCAATTCAGAAATGATCTAACAGTAACATAAATTAAATAGTATATGATTATTTAATAAGTATATATATAAATATACATGAAACAGAATTAAAGTTTGACTGCTTAAACTAATAATTATGGGTATAGTGTCGGTGACCGTACCACGTTGGAAGCGTCGGTTCTCGTCCGATTACCGCAGTTAAGCAACGTTGACATTAATCAATACTTGCATCGGTGGACCAGCTGAGAATAACGCGTGTCTCTGGCTTATTAACGTCATAGTGGCTGAGTGGTTTAAGGCGTCAAACTCGAGTATTCTTCTCGGTATTCTCATCCACAATGTGAACGTGGGTTCGAATCCCGACTCCGAAAAATACTTTGCACCCTAAACGCCCTGGTGCGGCCGAGCGCCAGCTCTCCCTCTGGAAATGCTTCCACACGACCACATGTATACAACCACTAACAGAGAAATCTTATTCACTGCCTTCAGTCAGCCAGTAGCAACGTAGAACTTCGTACGTACGTACGTCAGTTCGAGTTGCCATACCACATTAGCACAGACATGCAGTTGTCGATTCAAATCCCGTAGTGGTAGAGGTAGTAAGAAGAGTAATCAGAAAGATTAGGGTTTCAAGATATTATTCAAGGAGTATAATCCAGTGAAATAAATTTGGAAAGAGAAAAAACAAAGGGATACGAACAATTCAGAAGATTAGAATTTAGGAGAACACAAAGAGTGGATGCACCTGCGCTATTGCAAACGATTTTGAGCCATGTCATTCAACTGTTGCTTACGAAATTGAGAAGACAAAAGGCGAATGTCCGGCGCTTTAACCGCGTTGGTGGACATGGACAGTCTACATACGGGAGTTGGAAAACCCTAATTCCAAACCGATGCTCTACATGGAATCCATGATCCTGAAGGAACAAATGACGTATGAACTAATCGTTGGTCACCGGCTATCATAGGACTGCAGCTCCTCATGATACTCCACTGCCTTGTGAATAACACCTTTAGATCAAAGGCTCCGGGTGTAGCCCCTCCTAAGAAAGTCACCTACTTCGGTTTGGGCACCCAGACAGTATCCCAACCCGCACACAAATCGAATGATTCATGTGACACTTATCTATTTGGTGCCTCTCTATGTACCAGTGTTTGTGTTTAATTAAATTGAGTCAGTCGTCAGTCAGCCACAACGTAGGACCAAGCACATCTATGCATCGGTCAAAGTTGCCACACCTCATTAACACAACAAGATGAACACCGGATCTTAATCTCACAGTTTAAGAGAAAACAGAGAGTGTATACAACTACGCCATTTTGACCGATTCTGAGTCATGTCACCAAGAGTCTCCAACCATTGGCCACGATAGTCACGAGGACCACAACCAAGTAGTCTGCATTTACCAACATGGCTGAGACTAGAAGTTAGTGTCATCAAGCACTGATAGATTCATCGTGGAAAATAGAAACATGAATGATGATAAAATCTACCCTATTGAATATCTTGAAATTTGAATCGAGCAAGGTCACTTGACCGCGAAACTCTTATCATTTAATCCCAAACAGAATGTACAAGAAATTTAAGTAACTTGGACTATTGGTTACATTCGGCTTTGATGTAATTTACACTAAAATATACTTGTGTAAAAATCCTATCTGTTTGCCTATCTTTTCTTATGCTGACATTATGGTTTAGGAAATAAATGACAGAGAAAAATCTGAAAAATAAATTTCTAACATCAGTGATTCGCGGATTTTATACAAGCTGTAAAATATAGGGACTAAGTAAAATGCATTCAGTACTGAGAAAAATTGAAAATTTAGGTTAATCAATAATAATTCCCGTAGTTTCTAATGATTCGATAACAACAGGAAACTATTAGTGAAAGCAATTTTTAAGTGAGGTAATTTACTCAGTATATAATCCATTAAAATCAAGTCTACTCTAATCAGTCAGTCAGTCAGCAACAACGTAGAACTTCGTACGTACGTACATCAGTTCAAGTTGCCATACCACATTAGTACAAAGATGCAGTTGTCGATTCAAATCCCGTAGTGATAGAGGCGGTAAGAGTATAAGCAGTAATCGGATAGATTAGGGTTTGAAAATGTTATTCAAAGAGTATAATCCAGTGAAATAAATACCTAAATAATAACCAGGAAGTGCAATTTTGAAAGACGTCTACATAAAATATTTAGAGAAAGTTCAAGTAAATCGAAATCGCATTATCTCCATGTTTCTTGATAAAATTAACAACTCGAAATTCATCAATCTGTTTCTGATTATTCACTGAATTTCCCCTGGGAAACGTACTGTCCAAATATAGATGTGTAGAAATTAACAATAATGTAAAGTTATACTTTTAACTTTGAAAAAAAAAGTAAGAATAACTTACGGCTTCTATTGAAGGAAAACTACCACACTTTAGTTTTGAAAAAATTAGATTTCCATTCACGGTGATTTCGAAAGATCCTGGAAGATAATAAGTAGTCATGAAAGAAATCATAATATACCAACTAATTAAACTATTCAGTAACTGTTAAAAAGGAATTCAAAGCTGGAATTGAATCACACTGATATGAGATCAGTAGGTAAAATTTCAGAATTGAAATACTCTATAATAATCCGACAATTATCGACTAGATTTAAAATCCCATTATTTTAACGCCTTAACGATATTTCTTCTTAAATTTCTACACTGATTAACAATATCGGTAGTTGCTTTCTCTTTAAGCGAATATACTAGCCGAATTAAGAAAGAAATACATAAAAAATTATCTCTTATGTAGGCAAGGTAAAAATGAAACATTTGATGAGTGTCAGGATAATAAGATTCAGAGCATAACTTATTTCACATTGTACTACTTTTAACGGGCAAAGATAATAGAAAAAACGAAATAGATTAACGTCAACGGTATTCATTTGAAGTATACATGACGACTGTAATAATAAACATCGACAAAATCAAGGATACATGTTGATTACATAATATCAATTTCAAACAATAAAAAGCATTTTTAAGTGACTGATAACTGAACATTGAGCCAAACATAAAAAAATGCAAATAAACATCCTAATGAGCAAGAACAAAGATTCTAGCAGAATAACATGAATTCATTTTATTTCGTAGGTTCTTGTCAGCTGCTTACAACCTGTGGTATTTAAAAAGATAATTATATAATGGCTTTAAATTGCTCACATGAGAGGGTTTATATTGAAGAAATATTCGTAAAGTATGACATGGGTGTAAATGAAATTAATAGGCTGAATATTGTAAATATATACCACTCAGCTACAAGAAAGCATTAGTTAAAACACTATTTTATAGGGCAGAAAAGATATGTACCACTGATACGCTGGAAGAAGAATTGATGAACGTGCAAAAATGCTGAGTGGTATATATTTACAATATTCAGCCTATTAATTTCATTTACACCCATGTCATACTTTACGAATATTTCTTCAATATAAACCCTCTCATGTAAGCAATTTAAACCCATTATATAATTATTATCTTTTTAAATACCACAGGTTGTAGGCAGCTGACGAGAACCTACGAAATAAAATGAATTCATGTTATTCTGCTAGAATCTTTGTTCTTGGTCTTTTCAAAATGATAAAGGGAACTATGTGTATGAAACATCGTAATAAAATATTATCGTTTAGTTGGTTTAATAACCTCACTAATCAACAAAATACAATAAGTGAATAAAGAAAAACCAATCATCACTTATAGTAAGCGGTACATTTATCCAAGCCCTTGTATCCATAAGGAATTTATAATACCTCTACCTCTTCATTGGCCGAATTAACCTTAATAAACGATCTTAATTATTATTATGTTACTTACTTACGCCTGTTACTCCTCATGAAGGAACATAGGCCGCTCACAAGCATTCTCCATCCAACCCTGTCCTGGGCAATCCTTTCTAGGTCCTTCCAGTTGTTATTTGTGCTTTCCATATCTGCTTTTATTTCCTGACGTAATGTGTTCTTTGGCCTTCCTCTTTTCCACTTCCCTTCACGATTCCAAGTTAGGGCTTGCCTCGTTATGCAGTTTGATGATTTGCGTAATGTATGTTTTATCCATTTCCATCGTCTTTTCCTAATTTCCTCTTCAGATGGAAGCTGTTTGTTCTCTCCCACAGAAGGCTGTTGCTGATGGTATCCGACCAATGGATGTTGAGTATCTTGCGAAGGCAGCTATTTATAAATACTTGTACTTTCTTGATTGTGGTTGTTGTAGTTCTCCAAGTTTCAACTCCATACAGTAGAACTGCCTTGACGTTCGTATTGAAGATTCTCACTTTGATATTGGTTAAAGGTTGTTTTGAGTCGCATATGTTCTTCAATTGTAGGAATGCGACCCTTGCTTTGCCAATCCTTGCCTTAACGTCTGCATCTGATCCTCCTTGTTCATCGATTATGCTTCCCAGGTATGTGAAGGATTCTACATCTTCCAGAGTTTCGCCATCAAGGGTGATTGGATCGCTGTTCTCCGCTTTGAATTTGAGGACCTTGGTTTTCCCCTTCTGTATGCTGAGGCCTACTGATGCAGAGACTGCTGCTACACTGGCTGTCTTTATCTGCATTTGTTCATGTGTATGCGATAGGAGGGCTAGGTCATCTGCGAAGTCCAAATCGTCTAATTGATTCTGAGCTGTCCATTGTATTCCGTGTTTTCCTTCAGATGTCGAGGTCTTTATAATCCAGTCGACCACCAGAAGAAAGTAAACAGCCTTGTCTGACTCCGGTCCTTACTTGGAATGCATCTGTCAGCTGTCCTCCATGCACGACCTTGCACTGTAGTCCGTCATATGAGTTCCGGATCTATTATTATTTCACATACTCGTTATTTTCTTCACCCTCCCTTTTTCCGAATATACGCTTCATTGTCCAATTATTTGAACACTTCTTGTTACGTAATCTTATGGTTCTTGTGAATGTTATTCCAGCGTCTACATTATTCAAGTCATTGGTTTATTTCCTATTATGAAACATCGATTCAAGCCTTTCCTATTCCTATCACAGCTAATACACCTGTCATTACATCATCAATTTTTACTTTTCGATTATGCTTATCTACGTAATCTATTCCACTGTTATCACTGACTTATAAACTGTCTTGATTGGTTTACTTACTTTCGTATATGCATATAAATATTACTGTACATTAGAGTAAGGCCTGATGATCTAATTGAGAACAATATTGTTCGCTTATATATGTTGTTCTAATTCAGAATAAGTAATTTGTTAAAATATGATCAAGCTATCGTTAAGTTAAACTGATTCCTTACATCTTTAGATTCCATTTCTTGTTAAGTTAACGTGCGACATTTAAGTAAAATTCATAAACTATTCACTCATTAGCTGATATAATTTGTAGGTTCACATAACTCATGTTCAGATAAACGTACCACTTACCATAAGAGATGATTTGTTTTTCAGTCACTTGTAGATCCAACAACTTTTGATAAACATCTGTTGTCATGAAGAAGAGGTTAGCCTATATAGTGAGGTTAGACGCAGGGTATTGGGGAATGATTGCAAAACAGTTGATGAGGTTGTGAATCTTCATCGAATGAGATGGTTGGACGTGTTATGTATGCCTGAACACCAATTACCACGACGTACAATGCTAACCGGTGTTGAGGATGGTTAGAAGAAAGTTAGGGGCGGCCAAACCAAAACGTGGCGTCAGTCCTTGAAGTCAATAACTTCTGATCTCAGCCATGTTGGTAAATGCAGACTACTTGGTTGGGGTCCGCGTGACTATCATAACCAATGGTTGGAGACTCTTGGTGACATGACTCAGACTCGGTCAAAATGGCGTAGGTGTATCCACTCTGTCTTCCCTTAAACTATGAGATTAGAGTCACTTCATATCTTTCTTTCTACGAACTAATACTTTCTTCTCGTACCATATCCTTATATGCAATCTTTCTTTTACATATTACCACCATTGACTTAACCACTCCTATGAATCCGGTGTTCATCTTGCTGTGTTAATGCGGTATGGCAACTTTGACCGATGCATAGATACGCTTTGTCCTACGTCGTAGCTGATTGACTGATTACAACGGTGATTTGAAGCAAGCGGTTGTTGATACCGGCCATAGTTAACTCAAAAGTATACAGTCGTAGTTGGTTCACTCTGGGACTAAGTGGCTAACGCGATGGAGTTTGAAGTAAACGGCACTGGCCTCGAGTACCCGGAATGATGCAGGTATATTCAGCTGGTGAGCCCTAAATGGGACGAAACATGCGTCCTGGATTCCACACTAGACACTATCCATCATTATTCAGAATGCTCATGAATCAAGGCAATTCTGAGGCAATGTGCACAGTATGTGCATATATCAATAAGACTGATCAATTGCAGTCCTAATTTATTTATTTGCTTAGGGGACAAAACACGGAGCCTTCGACCTAAAGATCTGATTCACAAGGCATTGGAGCATCGTAAGGAGATGCAGTCCCATGATAGCCGGTGACCAACGATTGGTTCATACGCCATTTGTTCCTTCAGGATAATGGAGCCCATGTGGAGCACTGGTTTGGAATTAGGGTTTTCCAACTCCCCTATGTGGACTATCCATGTCCACCAACCCGGTTAAAGCGCCGGACATTCGCTTTTCGTCCTGTCAATTTCGTAAACAACACCCCCGTGAGAAGGAAATGAGTAGGAATTTCCTGGCAGAGGATATACGCCTGACCATGTGGGAGCATTTCGAGAGGGAGAGTGGACTCACCTCACTTTCGGCCGTACCAGGGCATTGGAGTCCTAAACATCAATGGGAAGACTCAAGTAAACAATATCAAGTGAATTTAAGTCTGTACTGTTAAGAAAAATGGGAAGTTTCTTCAGTTTTAGGACGTTCTACAAGTGTTGTGGTGGCAACAATAGTGATAGATGTATGCTTTTCATATATGAGTTTTCCATGAAGAGCTTTTAAGGACTGAGTTTTACGGGTTTTCGAGCTATTATGAAATCAAGTGAGACTTACATTGATATCGATCTAGGAAGTCTAAAGACTTGTGATTTACGTGTACAGTATTTGGGGACTGATATATATGGACACTGTACGGGGAACTGTCTTTGCACACGAAAATTGGTCTGTTAATCTCCAGTCAAAACAAGTTGTAAAATAGGGGACTCAAGCTTTTGAGATAAATGAATTTGATTGTGACTACCTATAATATGTAATATATACATAAATAGGGAAAAACGGATACAGACATTGGGCACTTGATATAGCATAATTTGACTAAATTAATGCAAAACTACAGAAAACGTTATACTCCGATCGCACATACACCAAACAAGTAGTTGATAAGTGTTTGCCCATAAGAAATAGTATATTTGGTCGCGTATACACAAAAGGTGGGAGGCTGTTAGGTTAAATATTAAGAGGATTATATACAAGTGCCTCAAGATAAGGTGAATCCTAAACATTAAATTAGCAAACTTACTTGACCGACCTTCCTGAATATTTACAGAAGCTGATCTACATTTCTGCTTGATTGTAACTGCGAGACGTTGTGCTCGAGGGAAATACCCTCATCCTCCACTACACAATTTGAAAATAGTCATTTTGAAAATCTATTCGATTATTAAAATACAGTTATAATGATTAGTTATACATCTCAAAACTGAATCCTGATAATGGGCAAGAAACAATTGTTGATTTACACACAGTGAAGTCAACTCAGTTCAATATCTAGTTATCTAGGTATTTTAAATAATCAACTGAAATTATTAGATCTATAATTCCAGTTATCCATAACTTGGAAATTATAATCACACTAAGTTTGTTTTATTGAGCGAAGCTAACCTTGGATTTAATATAGATATTGATTTTATTAACTGTTTAACCACAGAAAACCAAGGCCAAAAATGATGTTGGGCAAACGATTAGCCTGTAAGAACATACAATAGACTATAAATGCAGCTTAGCGTAACAAATTATTGGTTATCCATAGAAAACGTAACATTTTATACATAACTTGAAACCGATAAATGATGCTTTGCCAAATTATTGGCTGGTTATCCTGAAATATTTTTTTTCACCTATTTCTGTCTAGAAGAAACATGCTTACGATTTAATACAGATCATCATAAAGCCAACAGGAGAAAACAATAAATTCTTGAATAGATATATTGGCAGTTTTACCCTATGCTTATGAAACCTGGCTTGTCTAAGTTGAGGATATTAGATGACTATGCTTGATTATTGTTGACATCCAGTGGCAAAACCACGTTAGTAATATGTGTTCAGACACAGTGACGATGATTCAATTAGTGTCACCACCCAGAAACACTGACATTGAAGGCCTGGAAATATACTACGAATCACAATTGATTGATCACTGGGTGGTGATCAATCTCATGCTTGTCTAGTCCAGGTTCAGGGTTTCCTGTTGACTACCTCCAACCACCATCTAATCTCAATATACTACGAATGTTGTCCAATGGATTCCACACCGTGCATTATTTGTCGACGCTAGACCTGGTTAGAGAAAAACGGTGGTCCGGGTATAGTAAAGTGTCGTGGTATGAAAGAAGGCTGTAGAAGACTGGCTTCTGTTGGTCCTTCAAGACTCCCTGGCTGTGGTCCTGGAGCTAGTGCAACAATGGCTTGAGCCGTTATCAGAAATGGCGCAGAATAGAAGCCAGTGGTGGTACTACAGTAACTCTTTCGTCATTTAAGAGTAACGTCTATAGCTGGAAGAATCCTTTATGAATACATTTTTCTCAATCAAACCTTTCCACTTCACTAATTTTTACTGTTTGTCCTATATATATATATATATATATATATATATATATATATATATATATATATATATATATATATATATATATATATATATATATATATATATATATGTACGGATGCTTTTGAAACATACCAATGTTCGATAGTTACGGCCAACTTCTTTGTAGTGCGTTGCATGTTTCGAATCGAGAATTTAAAAGCTTTATTTAGAGCCAACAGATAGCCTGAAAAATTGCACAATAATTAGGAGCCAACTTAACGCGCAATTTGAAGATTTGCTACAAATCAACATATTCATTTACACAAAAATTGACTAATTTAATAGTTATAGGAAAGAAACGTGTATTCACAAATACAGGGAAAATTGAGATCATAACCCAATGAAATCGGAATTGAGCCATACTCACAACTCGACCATCACTTAACGAGTATACAATATTAGTCGGTATTCGGTCACTTTAAAAACTAGCAAGATGCCTTGTTTCAGATGTTTTACTCATCTCAATTAAGAGTAGATGCCTAAAGGAGGATTTCAAAGATACTCACGAAGAACTTAAATCAAACTGCCGTACATATTAATATAACATTTTTATACTACCCATTTCTATCCGTTTTGGGTACGTTATTCTTAGGTTCCAATCTAGTCTACTCCGTCCATAACCATTTGCTGAGCAACAAATCTACTTTACAGTGGTGACAACCTCAACTTCGAGTGTAGATTCCATAAAAGTTGAGTAGCTCTAATGAATCTACATAAATATCTAATCTGGTAAAAACATCCCTTTAAGATGTCTAAACAACCCAACTACCGAGTCCTTTCACATTAGAAATATGTACTACGAGAATACTTCCAGCGACTATAAGCTATGAACGAACCAATCATATTTAGGATAACAGGTCTTGTATTTTGGTGCGAAATCCGTCTGTTTAGCTAAACAGCGTTTTGGCATTTTAGCTTATGTCAGTTCGTGAAAACCTCGAGTCTAATTCCTAGCTCTAACCATTAACTGTAAATCATAATACGAATTCCTCACGCTGGTTTGTGACCATCATTTGGTCCTAGCCAAATGATGGACACGCTGAAGGTCACTTTAGAGTTGCTCAAAAGTCGTCCATAAATTGCTCTCACCACATTACCTCATAATACGTTTTAAAAAGCATAACATATATTGTGACGTTTACCTAGCCCAAAGACCTTCAAAGTTTTCATATTCTATAAAACCAAACTAAGCGCAGTTATGAAATTTTTGAAAGCTGTGTGCGCCACATCGTGCTTTCGGATTCCTAAATACAATCTTTTAGTATATATAGGCATGAATGCTACTCGTCTTAGGATGACAATACACAACCATTTCGAAATTCCTATGACACCGCTGGATAGTGGTCCTTTCCACTTAGTTCTGACTAGCTATGTTAGAAACTTAAAGCAGTGCAACGGCATATGACGGCTTTCCTGTAATTTCACTAGCACAATCATCCTTGGCTGACGGCCTAATTATGACATCCGGCAATCCTTACATTTCGGTAGCAAGATTGATAACTTTATCAAGAGAAATCAACTTTGTAGATTGGTTGTTATATTGAGAAATCAGTATTCAGTTATAAGGATAGGTCTATCGACCTATATTAATCCTTGCAGTTTGTAATACTGGAGAGGTCCAATCTCTTTTTGAATATATTAAAAGACGATGCTGATATTACGTGTTCCGGTAGGGAATTCCAGTAATTCACTACTCGGTGCGAGAAACGGAACTCCAGACGTAAACGGTTTGATCTCGGTTTTTGAACTTCCTTCTAATGTCCTCTCAAATGATCAGTTCTAAACAGAAGCAAAAGATAAGACATGTTAATACCAATGTCATCGTTCAGTATACGATAGGCCAATATTAGATCACCCCGTACTCTACGGTAAGATAACGGAAATAAGTTAAAGTGTCTCAGTCTGTCTTCATAAGATAGGCCAGCTAGAACTTGTTCCATCTTAGTACCTCGTCGTTGGACTCTTTCGAGCATATCTGCTTCATACTTGAAACAAGGACACGCTGCTTGAATCCCGTATTCTAAATGTGATCGCACATAAATCGGGTACAGTAATCCAAATATTTCATCATCTAAATACTGGAAAGACCTACGAATTGACCATAATGCCCTATAGCCTTTTGCAGCAGCAGCAGCCTTACAGTGACTAGTGGTTTTGAGATCATTGCTTAATATGACTCCTAAATCTTTATAGTTGTTCATTTCATAGGATTTACCGACCGATAATTCTGTAAAACTGTCAGACTCCAGAAACTTCAAAATTAAACAAAAAATTATTGTGCTATATTGGGACAACTTGAAAGACAATACACATACAACGGGAGGAGATATCATATACATACACCGACGGACTCCAAGGCAGACTTCCCGCTGTTTGACGAAAACAATATTTAAAACAAGCAACCAAATGATTCAAGTGGTTCTGGGAGAAAATAACCCTTAGATTTCATGTTTGTGTAGTAAGGACAAAAGGCCCACGGCCTATGTTATTCCTGGCAGATCGTGTAAAAAGACGGGAAGCCGGAAAAGAACTACAACATAGGTTAGACGCTGGAGAAAAGGACATAAAAATTGTAAATTTTCGGGTTGTGAGGCTCTGACAGAGAATGATGTCGAGGCCACTCTGGGTGAAGCACGAAGCCACTTAAATAGGCTTCGGATCTGTTACACTCATGTCCGAAGCTTACTCAATAAGTGATCGGAACTAGGTATGCAGATTGACTATACAAAGCCAGACATGATCGCAGTCACAGAAACCTGGCTGGCACAGTCTATAGATAGTATGGAACTTGATTTCAAGGGTTTCACGTTAGTAAGAGTCGACAGAATACAAAAGCGCAGAGGAGGGGGAGTAGATCTATTCATTAAGAATGTGTGGAGATAGACCTGACAACCTTATTTTGTAAATAGTTTTCAATGTTATTTCTATTTGTTTTGTCAATTTTTCACTGTATGTACATTTATCATTAAATGACTGTACATGTTGTTTTAGTCAACGACCTTGAACACCTTTTCCGTTGTAATTCCAACATAGCGTGACACACATTTTCGGTTGTTCACAAATACACTACTACGCACATACCCATTGTTCTATTGTCGCTCGTTACCAAGTCAACTGCGTTCTAAACTGGATATTATCCTCATTTCAGACTGCAGTGTCATTCCCATTATATCCTACGTCAAAGAAACTTATTGGCGTCATATTTACCTCTGTGGAATTATTACGCATTTATAATTGTGGATTTTTGAGACCAAAACTCAACAGAACACGCAACGACTAGCCGATTTAAGTAACGTCCCTAATCTGTTATTGTATTTGTAACATTTAACTTGTAAATATTAATATTACTATTGATTGTTATTAACCTTGTGATACTTTTGCGTTTATATATTGTTTGGTCCACCACAATTATTTGGTGAGCCTCGATTATTTTTTTATAGACATTTACTATATATATCTACATAATTTTTTATTATTATTAATCGGCACGACACCATTTTTTTGTTTTTGTCATTATGAACTCTCCGGGTAAACTTATTGATATTGATAGTTCACCGACCAACCTTCTAAACTCTCCACAACCAGAGGATAATGTTTTAAACTCAATCATCGCTATTTCGGAACTAAGATTACCAACGTACGGTGTTAATAACCCCAGGATCTGGTTTGCACAGGTTGAGGCATTATTTTTGTCGAGAGGTATACGCTCGCAAGCGACAAAATATGCATACATCGTTGGAGCATTACCCATAGAAGTGGCAGCAGAAGTCGGAGACCTGATAGATAACGTACCAGAAACGGACCCCTATGACAAAATAAAAGCCGCAGTAATCCACCGTACTTCGCAGTCTGATGAAAAACGCTTACAGCAACTACTCACCGCATGCGAGTTAGGGGACAAAAGACCTTCACAGTTGCTTAGACATATGAGACAACTAGCAGGCTCATACAAGTTAGACGAAGCATTACTTAAGCAGATGTGGTCACAAAGGTTACCTTATAGCGTCAGACAAATTCTCAGCGTATCAGGAGCCTCTGTCAGTCTTGATGATTTAGCAGACATGGCCGATAAGATGATAGAAATATATCCCGATAGTCGGGGAATTTACGCAGTACAACCCGCTAGTAGAGACGCTATGAACCCTACTCTTGACATTCAGCAACAAATGGCACACTTAACACGGCAGCTAGCATCACTGCAGGCGACTATTTTTACCATCCATTCTCGACGCCCCAGGTCTACGTCCAGAAGGAGATCATTATCCAGACATCGTCTTAGGTCACCTAAGCGGGCAGCCGGAATTTGTTGGTATCATTCGAATTATGGTGAGAAAGCACGTCGTTGCACAAAACCGTGCAACTTCACGACAAGCAAGCCAGACCATCAGGAAACGAAGTGGCCAGACAGTAATAGCGGCAGCTGTTACTGGCCAACATGTCAGCCGCCTCTTCCACATCAGGGATCGTATTTCTGGCTCAGACTTTTTAGTCGATACTGGAGCAGAAATCAGCATCATCCCACTCCATCTCTCACGCAGACAACATACGACAAGCACTAAATTGTCCTTAGTAGCGGCTAATGAATCAATTATCAAAACGTACGGTGAGCAATCACTTACATTAGATCTCGGGTTCCGCAGAAGATTCACATGGGTATTCATAGTTGCTCAAGTCAAACGACCCATCCTCGGGGCCGATTTTCTTAGTGCGTACAACCTGTTAGTAGATATGACCAACAAGAGATTAATCGACGTAAACACACGTTTACAGGTAAATGTTACAATCTACAACGACAACGAGATCCTCGGTTTTGTAATAATGAAAACTGTGAACAACATCTTCAACGACATTCTAACAGAATACCAGTGCATTACGAAATCAGATTTCCAAAAGGAAGGTAACCCACAGCTGGTGCAACACCATATCACTACCACCGGACCACCTATTAGAGCCAGGGCGAGGAGACTACCACCAAGCAAGTTGCAAGTAGCTAAAAGAGAATTCGAACATATGATGCAACTTGGTATTATCAGACCATCCAACAGCGTTTGGGCCTCGCCGTTACACATGGTACCAAAGAAGGACCAAGATTGGCGTCTGTGTGGTGACTATCGACGATTAAACAATCAAACCATTCCCGACAAGTACCCAATTCCGCATATACATGATTTTTCATTAAACCTACACGGTAAATGCATTTTTTCGAAGCTCGACCTGGTGCGTGCATACCATCAAATTCCGATGGCACCAGAAGACATCGAGACAACAGCTATCATCACACCCTTTGGTCTGTTTGAGTTTCTAAGAATGCCATTCGGTTTGAAAAACGCTGCGCAGGCATTCCAACGATTCATGGATGATGTCACGAGAGGTTTAGACTTCGTATTCGCCTACGTAGACGACGTTTTGATTGCAAGCTCATCAACAGAAGAGCACACCCAGCATGTTCAGATCCTCTTTGAACGTTTTAAGAAACATGGCGTGGTTATCAATCCTTCTAAATGTATATTCGCCGTCCCAGCCTTAGAGTTTTTAGGACATTACATTGACTCTCAAGGCATCAAACCACTCCCAGAAAAGGTTGAAGCTATTACCAATTATCCCGAACCAACCTCGGTGAAGTCATTACGACGCTTCCTCGGTATGTGTAACTTTTATCGCCGCTTCTTACCACATTGTGCTGAAGTATTACAGCCATTAACCGATCTTTTGAAAACCGACAAAAAAGGTACGAAGAAAGAGAAGAGTCAGACATTCAACCTACCCCCTGACGCCAAAACAGCATTCAAGAAAGCAAAGTTGATGATATCTAATGCTACCATGCTATAGCACCTAAACACCGATCCCACAACAAACCTCATCCTCTGCACTGACGCCTCCCAAAAAGCAGTAGGAGCAGTATTACAGCAATGCGTTAACGACAAGATTACTCCTATAGCTTTCTTTTCCAAACGATTATCACCAACTCAAGAGCGCTATAGCACCTTCGGACGCGAACTTCTGGCTATGTACTTAGCTGTAAAACACTTCAACTTCCTGCTTCAGGGACGTGATTTCACCATTATGACTGATCATAAACCACTTTGCTATTCTTTCAACACGTCCTACGACAGACATTCTCCACGGGAAGCCAGACAACTGGATTACATTTCTCAATTCACTACGGACATCCAGTTCATCAAAGGCTCCTCCAACATTGTCGCTGACGCTCTATCTAGGAAGGATATCAACATGGTGGTACACAACCACAACATCAGCCTTGAAGCTTTAGCTAAACTACAAGTGGACGATGTAGATTTGAAGATCTGCAACGAGAAGTCTAACTTGAATCTTAAACCTGTACCCATTCCTTTCTCAGATGCATCTATTATTTGCGACACTTCAACGGGTAACAATCGCCCCTTTGTGCCACAACCCTATCGACGAAAAATATTTCAACAGCTACATGGACTGTCGCATCCAGGCATCAGGGCTACCACGAAGCTTATCACAGAACGCTTTGTTTGGCCAAAAATCAATTTGGATTTTAAACGTTGGACACGTAACTGCCTCCAGTGCCAACGCAGCAAAATCCAAAAACACACTATCAGCCCGATCGGGGTATTCCCTATTCCCGACAAACGTTTTCAGCATATTCATTTGGACTTAGTAGGGCTACTGCCTCCGTCAAACTCCTTCACCCATATTCTCACTGCGGTGGACAGGTTCACAAGATGGGCCATAGCCTGCCCTATAAAAGACACTTCAGCAGAAACGGTCGCTTCAGTCTTCCTCGACCGCTGGATATCTAACTACGGAGTACCTTACATCGTCACTACCGACCGTGGTCCCCAGTTTCAGTCTATTTTATTTCAGGAATTCACAAGACTTCTGGGCGTAAACCACATCAAAACAACAGCCTACCACCCAGAAGCTAACGGCTTGGTCGAAAGATTTCACCGCCAATTGAAAAGCTCGCTGATGGCACAAAATGATACGACAAAATGGAGTGACGCATTACAACTTGTACTCCTGGGTATCCGTTCAACTATAAAAGAAGATATAGGTTGTACAGCCGCTGAGCTAGTTTATGGTACAACCCTTACATTACCAGGTCAACTAGTGGACCCAAACACTTTAACACTAACGGACCCAAGTCGTTTTGCTAGCCAACTGCTGCAGACCATGCAACAGATCAAAGCCATACCGCCTCGTGAACATAACAATCGGATACAACTCGACAGAAATCTAGAAACATGCAAGTTTGTCTTTGTTCGAGTAGATGCTGTCAAAAAACCATTGAAACAACCATACGAGGGTCCATATAAAGTAATTAAACGCACACAAAAATACT